GTCTTTGCCAGACTGATGATGTAAATTAAATAGCCTTAGTGTTTGACTTCTTTCACTTAGCATGATGAGATTCCCCTGTCTTGCAGCATTTATCAATGGTTTGCTCCTTTTTGTTGCCTGATAGTATCCCGATGCAGACATATACCACCATGTCTTTCCACTCACATTTTGAACAATTTCCAGGTTGAGGTGGTTAGGATACAACTGCTATGAATATTCCTGTATCGATCTTTAGATATATGTGTTAGTCTCAGTTGGGGGAAAACTCAGGAGTACAATTATAGGGGTCATAGGATGAGTAACTGCTTAACTTTAATGAAGCTTTCAAACTGTTTTCAAAGTGACTGGACATTTTGTGCTCCCATCAGCCCTGTGTGAGGGGTCTAGCTGCTCTGCATCCTCGGCAGTATTTGGTATTGTGTTTGCTTTTTAGTCATTCTGGAAAGTATTGGTAATTACGTGGCTTTTGTTTTTCCTAATCTCTAATAATGTCAGACATCTTTATATGAATTTACTGCCATCAGGATCTTAGCAGACTTAGTGTTAAATGAAGATCACATTAGTTCTAAAAGTAACCACTTTATTTGAAGTTTCAAAAATTGCCATTATCTTCACTTGGCCTTTATTACAACTTGATATATTACCTTAAATTCTTTTCCTTTTCCATATACGTCATTTCTTCTCTCTTTGGCATTATAACAATGGCTTCTAAGGAACATTCAGCTTCCCAATCTCATTTACACCAGCACAGTTCTCTGTGTCCTTCAGTAAGCCAGAATACACATGACTCTGAGTCACCCTTTCCTTTTTTCTGCCAATTTCTTTATTAAAAGGTCATCTTAGACTGTCATTTATAAAAAGCTTTTGGGACTGAATACAAAGGGAAGAAGGCATTTAGAGAGGAAAATCTTTTGCATTGGCAGCTCTGAGGCCATAGACTAAATTAGCCAGGCTGAACAATTTTTTTGTAATGGTCACCAGACCCAAGGGACTGACTCAAAATGTAAACTGACAAAGATTAGCCAGCTTTGTGTTGCTATAACAACATACCTGAGATTATCATCTCAGTAAGGTGAAAAATTTATTTTGTTTTAAAGGTTTCAGAGGCTTTAGTCCATGGTCACTTGGCCCTTTGCTTTGGGTCTGTGACAGCAAAGAACATCACGGCCGGAGTGTGAGACAGAGGGGGTCTATTTACCTCATGGTAACTGGGAAGCAAAGAGAGACTGACGAAAGGGGCTGAATTCCCACTTTTCACTTTAAGAGCACATATTTCCCTTATGAACACCTCCTAAAGCTTCACCATCATCATTCTATAATGCCACAGGCTGGTGACTAAGTCTTCAATACATGAGCCTTTGGGAGACACTGATCCAAACCCTAGCAGCTACTGAATGCCTGGTCGTCTATGGAAAAAGGCCAAGTCATGCACCTTTTGACCACTCTGCAGACAGCGTGGATGATGAGGGATCTCAGAAAGTAGAATGGAAAGCTGGATGTTCCAAAGTAACTTTAAACCACACACACACACACACACATACACACACACACACACACACACACACACACACACACACACACATTACAGTATTTTCAGTCAGTTAAATGAAATCTAAATCACAAAAAGTAGTTTTTGTTACTTTATAACACTGCAAATTCAAACAAATGCATTTGAACCATTTTGGTCTTGCTTCTTAGAAACAGGAGGCTTCTGAATGGAGGGGCTTTCTTCACCCAACTACAGGTAAAATGTGTTGCGAGAACATTTGTTTGACTTTCATACATACTGCCCTGTTTGGAAAATTACCCTCCATTTCTGTCTTTTCACTGTACTAGGAGCTCCTTGAGACAAGATTAATTTCTCTTCTCTACACCTCACAAAACTGTCCTACAGCTGTACTAACCGGTCCCCAGATGCTTGCAGAATGAGTGAAGGAATGAAGTGTGACAAAAATCTGAATTACGAATAAGGGATCTGCCGTTATATCCAAGATCCATCTAAGATACTGTGTCTATAAGTTAGCTTTGTTCATAATACCTTAAGACAAATAGATTCAAAGATTTCAAAGAAGTTTTTTAGGCAAAACATTTTATATCACTCATCTTTAAAAAAAAGACTGGGCCCTGCCTTTCACCTGTAAATGGAGTCACTGTTTTTCTATCTGTTGGAGGACCATTGCCTTTTCCCATAAACCGAGCCCATATTTTCTATGGATTCACATTACCCACTACCAAAATATTCTAAGTCTAGAGAATAGTGTGTTTCTTGTAGACTCACATTCTGTTTCTTTGAGTGTGTACTTTTCAAATTGTCTAGCAAATCTCTTTATGCCTCTTAAGAATATATGAGAAGCCTAGTTTCCCTGGCTCTAGCTTCTGTATGCTTATGAAATAATTTTCTTTTTTAACATCCATTTCCTTAAACTAGTACAAATGTTAATGTTGCCTTTTTTTGTTCCTTTTGGAAATCACAAAAAGCTATTAGAAGAGTAAGGGAAAATGCAAATATTACAGTTAAAACCAGCCTCACCTAAAGAGATGTTATTTAAGAAGAAGGGCTTCTTAACACAGTGAGGCCTTGGAGGGGCTTAGGAGATTGCAAGAGAGGATGCTTGAGACAGCTAACCTGAGACAGAGAGGAGCCTAGCTCGAGCTTGACCATGTTCCAGTATGGAGTAACAGTGGATGCATGCGCTTGGACACTGTGAAACTATCATAATGCAGACAGTTAAGGTTGTCTGAATAATCACTTAAGACTATTTGGGGAGCAGCACATAGAGAGGTGTGAGTGTGGGGAGTGAGGGTGCTAGAGAAGATTTTGCATTGTCGATCTTCACACATTAGGAATATGAGAGTTTAAAGCATCTAATCACATTCAACTCTGTCTGAAAAGATTATTTCTATTCTCCCAGAACATGACCTGGGCCCTCCCCCACAAACTTCTGAAGATGATTGATACAGGAAGAAATCACAGTATTAAAAGATGAATAATTTTTAGAAACTCAGGAGCCATGCAAACATCATAAAAAGGGGCAAGGAGAAGAGGAGGAAGGGCAAGTGGCAAAGAAAGAACACTCACTAGAAACGCACTATCACTTTGCAGATGAAAATTGTAACTAAGTATACTACTACAAAATGCAAAGTATTAATGAATCAGTCATCTCTATAAAGTAAGAGTTTAAAGCAGAGACACAAATTCTTGGAAGAATATGTGGCAAAGCAATAGAAGGAATTGACACTGGCTCAGGAAGGAAACAAAAATGAAAAATCCAAACATTTGGGAGTGAAAACCAATTTGAAAACAATATAAACGAGAATGGATTTAGAAAAAAGCAAGGTATTTGTTAAGTTTCAAGAATGGATCGATCCCTCGTTCTCATTAGTCTCTTTTCCCTCTGATCTCTGTGTGCCTCCCATAAGGACCACTTTCTGGTGATTGAAGTGTGGGCACTGCTGGTACAGACTAGTCAAGACTTCCCTGGTTTGACCCTCCTTCCAGGATCCCAGGACTCACGTTAAGCCAAGATCTTTCCAGACCTGCTCCTCTGCAGATATTGTGTTCTCCTCTGAAGTGACAGTAGATCATGACCCTGGACAGCAGTAGGAGTAGAAATTGAGGTTTAGTGCAGAGAGAAAATGTGCTGTTAATCATTCTTCTAGCAATTATTCAGGAGATACATACCTGAGAGACAAATACCTGACTGGGTAACTTCAGACAGGTAGGCTCTCTTCTTCCCTTACCTGGACAATGGATAGCTCAGACTTATTTCTGCTTTAACCCAATGCCTCTCTGCTCAACCACGTGGCTCCTCCTGATCCTCCTTGCAGTTTGCCAATGGAGTGTGTAGCCCTGTCCACCCGCGAGCTGCAGGTGCTGGCATTATGTTTATTCTAGGATAAGGTTAGAACATTGAACTGCAGATATAATGTTGTAGCTACTTTTCTCATTGCCCAGGCAAAATACCTCACATCCAAAGTTAAAAGAGGAAGGGTTGACTGTAGCTCACAGTTTGTAGAGGATTCAGGGCACAGTTGGCTGGTTCTAAGGCAGGGTGGCATGGCAGAGGGACCTCGCAGAGGAGAAATAGTTCATGGTAGGCAGACAGACAGCAAAGAAGCAAAGTGGTGAGAAGCGAGTGAATAGCAGCAAGCAAGAATAGCAGCCCTCATTCGTCCCTTCTAGTCTAGCTGGGCTTCCTGCCCTCAGGGTAGCACTCTCCACACCCAGAATTATGCCAAAGCAATCACTAGACTGATTTACTAATCACACACTCTTGATCCCAGTATCACACACTACAGAACCAGCCACCTCTGAAAACCCCCAGCTATTACCATATGAGGCTTTTGAGGGTTATCTAAACATAAGTCATAAAATGCAGCCACTGTGGAAATCAGTATGGAGATTCCTCAAAAAACTAAAATGCAAAATTTTATTTGATCTAGTTATTCAGCTTCTAGATATCATCCCAAAAGAGTTAAAGGTATCATATTTTAGTGATACACGTATACCCATGCTTATAGGAGCACAATTCATAATAGCTAAATCTTGGAAGCAGTCTATATGTCCTTTAACAGATGAATGGATAAAAAGATTGGTATTTACACAATGGAGTACTACCCTGCCACCAAGAAAATTTAGCCAGGCATGGTGGCTGAGGTAGGAGAATTGCTGCAAGTTCAAGGACCAGCCTGCACTATATAGCAATACCTGTCTCACCTTCCCCCACCAAGTAAAGAAAGAGAGATAAACTGAGTTGTGAGTAGGCAAGTCGTTGCACCTTGAGACCATAGTTTTAGTTAAATATCAGACACACAAGCTTACTTGAGGGGTATAGAAATAGGATGAGGAATGGAACTAGGATATTTTATGAACCAACTCTCCATGAGGAATGTATTATGTACTGTAAATATGTACTAATAAAAAGAAATAAAATGATACATTTCAAATGTAAAAAATTGAATTGTAGAATGTAATCTTTTGCTTCTCTGTATTTTATTAGAAGCCTCGCAGTGATGGTGTGTTCTACCCTCGCTGACCTGGGTGGGATCGTAACACCCTTCTTGGTCTACAGGCTGATGGAGATTTGGGAAGCCTTGCCCCTTGTTTTGTTTGGTAAGACTTCAAGAGAATTTATTATGCCTTTTTTCCTGCCTGGGGTGGGTATGGTATGAGTATTCAATAACCATTTGTTGGGTGAATGTTGAGGAGGAGCACACTTTCCACTTGTCTCCTTATGGGGAACCTGGCCAAGAGTCCCGATTATCAATATCAGAAGCCCAGTCATGAATCCCAATAGTCAATATTGGGAACCCAGACAAGAATCCCAATTATTTGTCTCTAGAATGCTGTGAGAAAAATAAAAATCAGAGTCAACTCTTGTATTCCAACAGTGGCTGGGAAGTCAATGTTCCTGGGCCCACGAACCCCCTACTCCCAAAGCACCCACTATTTATTTGCAATATTGAGTCACTGGTGAGGCTAACAAAAGGATTACAGCTCATCCAAGGACTCCTACTCCAGAGAGCATAGATAATCTTATGTTTGAAGTATCTCACTCTTGAGTATAATCCTGAGGTGATTTAAGAAGATGTAGATGATCTTATGCTTGGAAGAGTCAATGGGAAATCCCAGATGGGTGGTATCAACAATCCCAAGGGGAAATACACAAAACCAATCACTGTGAACCTGTGGTCCCCCACATCTGTCTCAGTCTGTCTTGCTTCATGGGAAAACAGGATACCACTTCTAGGAAGCCGTCAGAGACTTACACCCTCTAGCTTCAGAGTCCTACAGGATAGAATGTGACAGACATTTGAGCATATTCACTGCTGTCTCTTGTACATCTAGCATATAATTGCTGGAGGTATGAAGAAACTGAATTATCCCGCTTTGCTTCTGGGCCTTAAATACTGAAAAAGACCTAGGAAAGAGATGGAAATCCAGGTTCTACATCAACTTTACTTCTGTCAAATGTAGTGAAAGAGAAGGGGACTGCTGTTTCTTTCTCTAAACCAGATTGTGGGACCTCTAAAGACCAACTTTCCCACTTGGTAGAGGACACAATGGCTGGTTCTGCCATGGGCGGCACAGGTAATGCTAGGGGGAGAAGAGGGTGAGAAGAAGGCAGAAGGAGAGAAAGAAAGAATGGATGTGGGGAGACAGAGCAAAGAACTGGGAGAGGACAGCAGAAGAAAGGGAGGGGGTGGTGAAATAGGTATCCTCATTGACCACATATATATTGGCTGACCTCCATTTTTATCTGTGTCTACATCAATATCTATCCAAAGTTTTGGATAGATATCATCTAGTTAAAGTTTTATTTTATATTGTTCTTGAGGTGCCTGAATTAACTTCCCCTAATTCTTGGCGGTGGCAGATGGGGTGGGGGCTGAAGGTTGAACCTAGAGGCTTTGCCTTGAGCTACAATCCCTAGCTCTTTTCTTATTTTTATTTTGAGACAGCTCTTGATAAGTTGCTAAATTGTTCAGCTGGGCTCAAACTTGTGATCTTTCTGCCTCAGCCTCCCTGAGCACTGGGATTGCAGATGTGTGCTGCCACACCCAGTTCATGTCCCCTAAGTTTTGAACATCAATAGAAATAAAATGGAAGCGATGTTTCGCTGGCATTTCCCCATTGCTTTCATTATCTACCTGAATGTTCCTGAGAACTTTAAAAAAATGTCTCACCTCTTCCACATGTTATCTGGGCATCTGTCTGGCTTGCTGCAATCACTTGTGTACTGGCTGTGGTCTGATGCTTCTGTGTGTGATCTGTTCCCTTCGAAGGTGTGCTGGGCCTGATTGCTGGAGGAATGACATTGCTTCTTCCTGAGACCAAGGGGGCTGCTCTGCCCGAAACCATTGAGGATGCTGAGAACTTCCAGAGGTGAAGACCTAGGTCCTGGGGTTGGCAGGCCCTCTGGAAAAGGCCTTGCACGCCCCATTTCTCCATCTCAAAGATTTAGGAAAACATTACAGATACTTGTATAGCTTGGTCTTAATGCCAGAGCAGAGGTAGATGGGAACAAAATTCAACAGCTCTTGACTGTGAAGGAAGAAGACAGCAGGAGCCATTTTTTTTTGTTGTTGTTGTTGTTGTTGTTGAAAACAGCATGGCACAGAGCTGAGTGTACTGGGCTGGGGATTTAGCTCAGCAGTTCAAGCGCTTGCTTGCTAAGTGCAAAGTCGTGAGTTTGATCCCTGGCACCAAAAAGAAAAGAAGAGAACTGAGTGTATTTGTCAATGATGTGGCTGTCAGGCACAATGACTCTGAGTTAAAAACTCTGAGTGGATAGCAATTTTAAACCCACCTTCTGATCTACTAGTAATGGTAGGTTCAGATTACTTAATAACTTTCTTCATAAAGAAGCATGGCTTAAATCATTGTTCTTGTGACAGAGTATGTGCTTTAGTGGACTTTCTACAAAGTGCTTGTGTGGTCACCTTAGCAGGTGCAGTTCTGGAGATTTCGCAGCTCCACTGTGTGTGCCATGTGTATGGCCATAGCATGGCCTTCGGGGTCACAGAGACCAAGGTTTAAATCCAGACATGGCCATGTGACTTTGGGAATGTGATGAAACCTTCATAGACTTACTTGCCTCTGTAAGGTAGCCACAGTGAAGTTTAAATCAGAAGCTCATTGTGAGAGTTCCATGAACTCCAGTGGTTACTTCATAACCACCGCTGCCCTGTCTGGGAGGCCAGGTGCTCCTGCTCTGAGCCCAATACCCCGTTATAGCCTCTGTTCACAACAGAACTCTTTATGTTATGTATAACCATTTGTTCCATTGTCTTCACCACTATGTGAGATGTGATAAAAAGCACAGTGCGTGTTTAAATTTTTACAAGTTATTACAAGTTGGGCATAGTGGTGGACACACGTAATCCCAATCAGGCATGGTGGCTGAGGCAGGAGGATTGCTGTGAGTTTGAGGCCAGCCTGGACTACATTGTGAGTCTAGGCCAACCCAAACTACATAAAGAGACTCTGACTCCAAAAGAAAAGTTATTACAATAAAAACATATTGCCATTAATCTCCCTCAAAATACTCTCCCTTGTTTCAAACACACTAACACAATCATTCTTGTCACTCTCCAAAGCAGTTATAGAAAGTGCTAGAAGTCTTTTTTCATGAGTGCCATTAATTGTGCTATTCTGGCTTCCTCAGTGTCCTGAGTAGGGTTCAAAATATTGATCTTTCAGGGGTTGGCAGTTTAGCTTAACTACATAAACGCCTACCAGGCAAGCATGAGGTTGTGAGTTTGATCCCTGGTATCAAGAAATAAAAGGAAAAAAATTAATATTGATCTATCATGGTTGTATTGACTTTGGGAAGAGCCAGAAGTCAGATGGTGCCGGATCCAGTGAATTGGGTGAATGAGCACATACTATAATGTTTTTATGAGTCTGCCTTCCCATTGGATAGTATTCAGCAGCATTCATTATATTTTTGATTATAATTTGTAAAGATGCTCATGAAAGGAGACTCCCAGAATGCTTTGGAACGTGGCAAGAATGATGGGATAGGTATGGTTAGAGTGCAGGGGAGTGTTTTGAGGGAGAAATGGTAAGATGCCTTGCTGTTATAAACTTGAACTTTAAACATTTGTGGTATATTTGGATCACATCTTGTAAGTGGCAGGCCGTCAGTGACCACAGAGATCATTTCTATCACTCCTTCTCCCCCACTTTCTGGGGAAATGGGACAGTGGGACACCATGGGACCAAGAGCCTCTATTGAGCTCTTACTCTGTGCTTCTTCACTGGAAGGAACCTGCACCTCTCACCTCAGCCCCTCCAAACACCATGCAGCAGCTACTTGTTCTTGTTATCAGACCCATTCTACAGATGAAGGAAATGATGGCAGGTCCCCTGAAAGTCACCAGATTCAAAATGGAATGTAGACCACAAAGTCCCTGAGTTAGGTAGCAACTGGATAAGTGTTCCACCTCAGGGGTCTGCAAACCACAGTGAGCGTATCTGCCCTCGGGCTTGATGGTCTCTGCCGCCACCACGTTCTTCCTCTGCTGAGGAAAGTAGCCAAGCCAGTGGGTGAATAGGCGTGACTCGACTCCAGTAAAATTTTATTTATTTACATTGAAGTTTGATTACATTTTTCAAATGTCATGAAGTATTTTTATTTTTTTGCCTATTTAAAAAATGTAAAAAAACTGCTCATGGGTCATAACCCAGAGGTGGCACATGGGCTGTGGTCTGCTCACTCCTATTACCCCTGTTTTTCCTTGTTTTTTGCCATCTTTGATCTCTGTTTTGGGACACTTCTGCATACAAATTTGCAACAGTTTCTCAGTTAAACTTGCTTACTGATTGGTGTCAACTGTAATTTTTATTTCTGGTTGCTACAGGAAAGCAAAGCCCAAAGAAAACACAATTTATCTCCAGGTCCAGATATCGGAAGGTGCGGGTACCTGAGAGCTGCTTTACTTGGAGCTGACCAGAAGAGATGAAGAGGAATTTATCATTCAAACAAAATTCCAGAAATCTGTGCTTTTCTGTATTTTTTCTTATACTCCCCTGTCCCAAATTAATCTTAATCCTAAAAAAATTATCTTAGTGTGCTTTGTCTTAATTTGTTTTATTTCTCAAGTCCCCCAAATCTCTATCTTTTTTCTACTTACCAGTTCTAGTGAGAGCTGGTATTTCTGGTGGTATTAAGAATAGCACAGTAGACCCTTGACTTTCTTATTCAATGTGGACTGGTTGTAACTCCAGTGGTCAGTTGAAGGCTCATGGTCCGCCCTCACAGCCTTCAGGGTCTCTCCCCTGTATATACGCAGATCTCAGTGTCCTTAGAAAGGCATTGGCCCAGGATTTATCAATTAACTCCATATAGGAAAGGATGTTGTCATGTTCCTTCCAGAACTCTGTAAGGGTTAGATCTATATCTGAGACCATTTGGAAGCACCAGTAAGCAGCATTCAGATCATAACTCAAGGCTTTGGTCATAAGTTCTGGACTAACCCAAGTTGTTCATGTGTCAGGCTGGTTTAACTCATGGGTCCACTGTACTTCATTACCTAAAGTACTATAGAGATCAAACAGAAATTAAATATTGTTACAAAAAAGATCTCTGTAACTTTTTGTCTTTGCTATTGTTTAATTTACTATCTGGAAGAAAACACCTTTGCATTTGTAGAAATATGTGTTGGCAAAAGCATTTCAGTATGTAGCTTGATTAGTGGTCCTTGGTGGCTCTTCCAGCAAACTGCATCTCAGTTGAGTTTAAATAAAGTAATAGAAGCGAGGCATGCTAGTGCATGCCCATAATCCCAACACTAGGGAGGCTGAGGCCAGCCTGTGCTACATAATGAGTTCGAGGCCAGCGTGAACTACAAAGTGAGCTCCTGTCTTAAATAAATAAATAAATAAAATGATGAGAGAAAACAGGATTTTCCCTTAAAGACCATTTTGGGAGGGGTGTTTTCCTCACCTATGCTCCAGGAGTATGTTACTCTATGTCGCTCTTGGGTTTGGTTCTTACTGGTGATTCTAGCAGGCAAAATCATATGCTGACTGTGAATATCATAATAAACACATCAAAAGGAGTTCACTTCTGCCATGAGTCATGTGCTTCTTGAGTACCAGGCACTGGTCTTATTATTGGAGGAAACAAAAAGCTTTATTTTATAATTTTTTACCTGTTAGATAAACCATAAAGACAACCTACTAGCCAGTCCTCAAAGTTCGTAATGTGAATTGGAGGCCTGATTCAGCTAAGGTAAGCCGTAGCTCCAGGCTGCAGAGCCTCAGATCTGGGAAGCTGACACCAAGCAGCCCTTTGGGCTCTCTTTCAGCAGGGACAGGGCCTGAGGTGGAGCTCAGTGCTAGAATGCATGCAGAGAGAGAGGACAAGAGAGAGGGAGAAGGAGACAGTGAGAATGGACATTGCTATTTGGAAAACAAATAATCCTTCAGGAAAAAAAATGCCTTGTCTTCTGAATCTTAATTCTGGACACACAAAGTGAATCTAATGCTTCCTTTCAACTTCTCTGTAGCAAAGCCCTCAACTGTGTCTAACACTTTCTGACCTTAATAATGACACACTGTTGGTAACAAATATGCAAATTGCAATCTTCAGTATTTTTCAAGTATGTAATAAAATGTCCTTACCTTTCTTGGCATCCCCTGAAAAAGACTTTCAACATGTTCAGCAGCAAGGGCTGAGGGGTCCACCAGGCAGGTGGGGGCAGAGTGGGGTGGCAAAGGGGTCTGGAGGTCCAGGGAAGGGTGTCTACAGAGGGGCAAAGGAATGGTGTGGGGAGGAAGCTTCCACTCTCAACCTTGCTGACAGACACAGTGTAGACTTAGGGAGGCACTGTTGTCCTGGAAAGAAGGGACTCTGGTCAGGAAGACAGGATTCAATGCCTTCTCCACTATTTCCTCATGGTCAGAAGCAAGGGCCTCAGCAATGGAGACTCTGTTTCCTCATGTCAGAAGAGAGAAGTACTATGTTGGAGACCACTATGAAGTGCCTCTAAGCAGGATTTAAAATTAACTAATTGGCTTTATATATTTATCTGTGAGTCTGTCCTAGGCCTAGGCCTCTTGCCTGGAGATGGGAGCTGATTCATAGTAAATGAACTTCGAGGAATCATTGATCCGGCCTGAGGCCTGTAGTGACCTGTGAGGCCAGAGATACTTCAAAAGTCAAGACAAGGCCACGGCTTCAGACACTTGTAGGCTCAAACATCAATAGAGACTGCATTTGCAGGATTACTCCTACTATCTCACTTCTACCATGTCTTCATGAAGCTGACACTTCTCCTAAATTGACATGATTTATTACTTGGAGAAGTCCTTAAAGTGACTCTTGAGGTCCTGCTCATTGCCTGCATTTTCTTCAGTTTCCTCGCTCTTTGTTTTGGACCTAATAAAAATGGGCAGTCCAGAAAAGTCTTTGTCTTAGCCCTTAGCTTCTCAAACTCAGCTAAAAGATTTTGAACCTTCTGGAACCCTAAAATCATACCACTTGTCTCATTTTATTTAAGCTTTTGCTGTACACTCATATGGGAGAATGGGGATCTAGGTTAAGATCAGTTGGTACTATAAACAGAGCTACAGAGAGCCACAAAGGCACAAGGCCAGCCTGTGCTGGCCACTGTGGTATCACACACCTTTGTTCCAGGTGTTTCCTGCTTTTGTTGCAGGTGGTGGATCCAGCACCTCCAGCTGGAGAAAGAGCAGAGCCACCTGACCAAGCTCACTCCACGCACTTCACTGCTAAGGGCAATGTGCCCACCATCATCCTGCCTGCAAGTGCAGTTGCATGTCTGATGATTTGAGATGTGAACAGAGCATGTTAATTAGATATGTATTTGACAGTTTAAAATGTGCCGTAAGATCATTTATGAGATAGCCTTATAAATATTAACTCATGTGGCCACTGCAACAAGATTTTAAGAAGATAGATTTATCTCTGTTTGAATTTGGTGAAGCTACATTGAGATGCTACTCAAGCACACAGGGACCTGGCACTGAATTTAGCTCTTCTGGATGGGATAGTGAGGTGATTAAACAAGAAGGGTGGAAAGCACCAGCTCTAACAGGCTGTATCCCTTGTGAAGCTTTGTCCTGGCACCTGGTAGTTCTGATTACATAGTTGCCCCTTGCCCAGGCCTGTGGGTGGCACAGAGGACAGAGCTGTCACTGCTCAGTATCATGTGCCCAGTTGTCAAGTCTGCTCTCCACTGGGCTAAGAGGCATTCACAGGTCCTGTGTAGTGTTGTTTTTATGTCATTTATAAAAAGAACAGGTTAAGAAAAATAAGGAAAAGGCAGATCAGGTTTACTTTAGAACAAACCTGAGTGGGACCACCCTGGCACGTCAACCAGAGCAATCCTTTTGACAGATTATGGGGTCTTATATAGGTCATGGGGGGTGGAGTTCAGTCAGTGGGGCTATGACTACCTGACAAGGACAAGGCTTGAGAGAACATAAGCTGTAATTGTTGCTCAAGGATGAGGCTTAAGAAAGCCCAAGGAGTAGTGGTTGCTATCAGTTGCAAAGATGATAATGACACGAGTCACTGAATACAGCTGTGCTGGGGTGGGGGGTTTAGAGTGGTCTCTGGTCAACCTAGGATGATTGGATTCCTTTAGAACATGTACACGTACACAGCATCTACACTTCCACGTACACAACTACATACATCCTTAAGATCGGTATGGGAACATAGAAAATGATGTCCAGAATAGTACTGTCAGAAGGACACTTCCAGGCAGGAGGACACTGGAAAAAACAGAATGTGCCAAATCTCACACTGTGTGGGCGGTGGCCATGGACCCACACTGAGCTGTCATAAGAGAATCAGAAAACAAAGGATACAGGCTAGGTGTGGCCACAATTTAGAACATGAGGAAAGGGTGTGGCTTTTCCAATAAAAACAAGAAATATGGTCGTTCTGGGCTGGGAAAACAGCAGAAAAATGAGGGAAGAGCTGGACTTGGGTACTGACTTCAGGAAAGAGTCCTGGGTCCTCCTCTTTCCCCTACTCCATGCTGCCTCTCCAGGGCTGCTTTCATCTGTGTAGGTGAATGCCACTCTATGAACTAAAAATGCAAGAACAAATAAAGCTTAAAATTAGTAGAAGGAAATAAAGATCAGAGCAGAAACAAAGGAGACAGAGACTAACAAGATATAAAAGATACATAAAATAAAAATTTATGTCTTTGAAAAGATAAAATCAACAGATTAAGAGGACAAAGTTAGACTAAGACAAAACAGAAAAAAATACAAATAAAATCAGACAAGAAAAGGAGATTTCAACTGATACCACAGAAATACAAAAAATCATATCAACTGTTATGAGCAAGTCTATGCTAACAAACTGGGAACCTTAAAAGCAATGGATAAATTCCTGAGCACATTTAATATAAGAGCAAATAACACTGAAAAATTGAAAGCTTTTCTCTAGGATCTAAACAAGAGAAGAATATACATGTTTACCACTTTTATTCAAAAAAATTCTTCTGTATAACAGAAGTTCTAGCAAAAACAATTAGGCAAGATGGAAAAAATAAAAGATAATACCTGGTTATGGTGGCACACACCTGTAATCCCAGCACTTGGGAGGAGAAGGCAGGAAGGATCTCCACGTGTTCAAGGCCATCTTGGGCTATCTAGTGAGTTCAAGGTTACCTAGAACTACATGGTGAGATCCTGTCTCAAAAAAAAAAAAATCAAAACTTTATGAAAAAGGGATTTGGGGCCAAGGATTTAGCTCAGTGGCATAAGCGCCTGCTTGGCAAGCGCGAGGTCGTGAGTTTGATCCCTGGTTCTGAAAAAAAAAAAAGCATTTCTGTGTTTGATTCTGTTGATGTGGTGGATTACATTTATTGATTTGCATATGTTAAACCATCACTGCATTCCTGTGATAAATCCCACTTGATCATGATGTATAATCTTCTTGATGATTTGCTGCATTCTATTTGCCAATTTTATGCTTTGATTTTGTAACTTGAACAACTACTTCTAAGATAACAATACATAATTTATCAACCAGTGATTTCTTACTTTTATTTTTTTAAAGATTCTGTATTATTTCTACCCTTTTTTCTGTTTTGCTTTTTTTCCATATTAATAAAATATCTAAACAGGAAGTCAAATTGTTCCTGTGTGCAGACAGCATGTTCTTGTGTATACAGAAAAACCTAAATGACCTAAATGCTCTACCAAAATACTGTTAGATGTGAAGAACAAAATTAGTAAAGCTATAGGAAACACTATCAACATATAAAAACCAGTAGCATTTCTATACACTAATAATTATCTATTTGAAAAAAGGTCTACTTATAACTAAAAAGTGAAATAAAGTACTTAGGAACAAATTTAAACAAGGAGGTGAAAAATCAGAAAATGAACTTTACAAAATGCATACTGATGAAAGAAATTGAAGAAAATACACAAAAATGGAAAAACATCCATGTTCAAGTATTAGAATTAATATTAAAATGGCTACAACTAGGCAAAGCAATCTACAGATTCAGTGCAATCTCTGCAAAAATTCCAGTGTCATTTCCTTTTTAACTTTATTTTAAAGAGAATAAAACCAAACAAACTAGAACAGAATAAATCCAATCAAAACAAAACAATACAAATGATACAGGGCTTCAAAGCAAGATAGTAGGAAATCAATAATGACTACCATAATATATCTTGTTATCTTCAAAATAACTGTCCATACCATCAGACATAAAATCAAACAAAACAAAGCATAATGAAACCAAAGCAAACAAAACAATGAAAATGATTCAGGACTTCAAAACAAAATAATAGGAAATTAACAATGGCTACAATAATGCTTCTTGTTATCTTCAAAATAGTTGTCTGGACCATCAGACATAGGCATGTAAAATAACCAAGCAATATAGGAACTAAGTAGATATTTACTCCAATTGTTACCTTTTCAGAAATTTCAGGTGTGTGACTTCTAATTTCTACTATGTCTATGTCTCCTGAATTTGTTCTGTGTGGGCTGGAGGTCTGAGATTATATTTTGCTCCTTCATCTTGACATTTTCCTGTGTTCCTCTGAATCAGCCTGTTGC